TTTTTTTTTCACCACAGATATCACTGAGTATAATCTGGGATGATATCCAGTGTCATCTTGTTCTTTCCGTGTAATTTCATTAATATCATTTTTTATTTGCGACCAATTTTACAAGTGACATTATCATTGTGAATATATCTATACGTAATATAGATATATTGACAATGATAAAATATTTAAACCCGGGGTTGAAAAACTGGCCCTTGGAGAATAACAAATTTAATAGCTTTTTATTTTTGTTGCAGAAAAGCAGCTGAAAATAAATTAATAAAAGGTATTGTTAGTGTGAATATAACCTCACCAGTCACTACTTATCTTCAGAGTCACCCGACAGAGAGTTTTCAATAAAATCTTTATACCTGAGTCAGGTAATTACTTAAAAGGGACCATATGGCTTATTTTCACGCCGGCAAATTTTTCCACCCCCAAATGTTAAATCCTTCAGCCATTTAAGTTGCTCAGATTTAATTTTAATTTTCAATGACGAAAAATTAAAGGTAATTTTTTTTTTTGCCGCTTTTAATTTTTATATTGATTAAATTGAAATAAAAATTTTTTTTTTTTTTATTAAAAAAAACGCAGAAAAATTATTGCGGATGTCAAAAAAAAAAAAAATTTTTTTTATAATGAAAATATATTTATTATTTAGGAAAAATTGAGAAATAAAAATGCGCAAGCACGTGGAAATGGTGGATAATATTTAACGAAAAAAAAAAAAAAAGAGATAATTATATTCAAGGTGTTGCGAAATGCAAAATAAGTGTTGAAAAAATTCGCGGAGGTGATTTAGTGATGAAAAGGTGAATATTTATGAGAAAGGAGACTAAAAATACAGAAATTACTTGAGACCTTGATAAGCTGCAGATAGCGTGGGAGAGGAAGCATAGCGAGGGGAAAAAATTGATGAATTAATATGAACACTTACCTCAAAATTATGTACTCGGGGATTGCTGAAGATCAATCAGAGTGTAGCGATGCTGATGCGTACTCTAAGTATGTTTACTTAACAAGTAAGTTGATTAAAAATCAGAAATTTAGTTAACAAGAACCAGTCACTTGCAAATGCCTCAACGTGGTAACGTTAAATGAGTGGTTAAATGTAAGAGAGTCATATGGCTTGAAAGTCCACACCTGGGATCTCCCCTCTGTTCAAGTTCCTCAATCTCCCGAAGCGTGCGTGTCTCTGTCTCCTCGCTGCCACTTTGACTTCCTGTAATTGGCGCTATAATACGCGCGCCAAATTTTTGAAACGAAAATTAAAGATAATAATAAAGTGAGCCGACATTTTTAATTTTTTAATTTTTTTTTATTTATTAAATTAAAGCCAAAAAATATTTTTTAAAAAATACATTTATTGTTTTTTACACATGCAATTTTTTTAAAAAATTCTTTTGTAATAATTTATTCAATAAAAAAAATTCTAAACACTTTTAGATGTCGGCTAACTTAATAATTTTCATAAATTAAAGTAACAGATAATTAATATAATTTTTAGAATTTTTTTAAGAAATAAATTAGTGCAAAAAAAAAAATTAGAAAAAAAATTGACATGTAAAAATTTTAAAAAATTAGAAATGCAATTTTTTAAAAACAATTTTTTTTATTTTTGTTGCAGAAAAGCAGCTGAAAATAAATTAATAAAAGGTATTGTTAGTGTGAATATAACCTCACCAGTCACTACTTATCTTCAGAGTCACCCGACAGAGAGTTTTCAATAAAATCTTTATACCTGAGTCAGGTAATTACTTAAAAGGGACCATATGGCTTATTTTCACGCCGGCAAATTTTTCCACCCCCAAATGTTAAATCCTTCAGCCATTTAAGTTGCTCAGATTTAATTTTAATTTTCAATGACGAAAAATTAAAGGTAATTTTTTTTTTTGCCGCTTTTAATTTTTATATTGATTAAATTGAAATAAAAATTTTTTTTTTTTTTTATTAAAAAAAAACGCAGAAAAATTATTGCGGATGTCAAAAAAAAAAAAAAAATTTTTTTTATAATGAAAATATATTTATTATTTAGGAAAAATTGAGAAATAAAAATGCGCAAGCACGTGGAAATGGTGGATAATATTTAACGAAAAAAAAAAAAAAAGAGATAATTATATTCAAGGTGTTGCGAAATGCAAAATAAGTGTTGAAAAAATTCGCGGAGGTGATTTAGTGATGAAAAGGTGAATATTTATGAGAAAGGAGACTAAAAATACAGAAATTACTTGAGACCTTGATAAGCTGCAGATAGCGTGGGAGAGGAAGCATAGCGAGGGGAAAAAATTGATGAATTAATATGAACACTTACCTCAAAATTATGTACTCGGGGATTGCTGAAGA